GCCCCACAAGAGTTGTAGCTCAAGTGGTAGAGCACTAAGCTTGAACACAAGGTCAGAAACAGTGCTCAGGCCTTGAGTTCAAGTCCCAGGACCAGGAGAAAAAAAAAAAAAAGGTAGTCAGGTAAGTCTTGGTCTGAAGGGAGAGCTACATTCCTATCAGAACTGGTTTTGCTCTCGACCACACTTCACTTAAGAAAAAACTTACAGCCGGGCACCTGTGGCTTATACCTGTAATCCTAGCTACTCAGGAGGATGAGCTCTGAGGATTGTGGTTCAAAGCAGGCCCAGGCAGCAAAGTCCTTGAGCCTCTTCTCTCTAATTAACCACCAAAAATCCAGAGTAGCACTGTGGCTCAAGTGGTAGAGTGCTATCCTTGAGCAAAAGAAGCTCAGAGACAGTGCCCAAGTCCCGAGTTCAAGCCCCAGGACTGGCAAAAATAAAAAACAACAAACAGAAAAAAACCTTCTGCAAGGATGGGAAAGACTGACTTGCCTGGGACTTTCATCACATCTCACTGCAGCCTAATGAAGCATGGAGAAGCCAGCTTGACAGACATACCAAACCACTGAGGCAAAGCCAATAACTTGAGGACACTTCAACACATCAAGCTTCTCTGCCTATCAATCCAGTCAGCCTGCTGGTTGCAGTAATATTACTTGGATTAATTGATCTTTATGTCACTGTGCAGATCCCTATCTGGTAACTTTTTGTTTTGTTTTTGTCGGTCATTGGGCTTGAACTCCAGGCCTGGGCAGTGTCCCTCAGCTCTTCAGCTCAAGGCAAGTACTCCTGCCACTTGAGCCACAGCACCATTTCCAGTTTTCTGGTGGTACATTGGAGATAAAAGTGTCTCGGGACTTTCCTGCGGAGGCTGGCTTTGAACGGAGATCCCCAGATCTCCTGAGTAGGTAGGATTTCAGGTATGAGTCACCAGCACCAGCATTCCATATCATTTTAATGTGACTACATTATATATTATACCTTTAAAATACAATTTTTGGGATAAAATTAAAGCTCATGCTTTAGAAATATTGGGACCAGCACAATGTACTAGCTATCTTAAAATTAAGATATCCATATATTTAGATACTTCTGACCAAATGACCTCAAGTATAACACAGGGTTTACATGCTTTTATACTAAGCACTTAGTTTCGTGATATTACATAACTATAGGTATCCTCATCTTAATTTAAATTTTATTCTGTTTCTTTTATATAGTCTTCTGAATCAGATTAAAAACTGCAACAAATATAAAAAAAATCATGCAACCCAAGGTAACTATGGCCATTACGATGGATCAACTTAATAAGAAAGTGGAAGATGTTGAGGATCACTGTTCTCCCTAAGCAAGGCTGAAGGCACACTTGACTGAGTACAAAGGCATATGTCAAGAATGCTTACATGACGTGGATCACTTAGGCAAGGTGTAGAAACACATGCAACAAAACAGTGACTCTGGTTCTTATCCTTGATCCGAATCCAAGGAAATAGGTAGATTACTCAAGAATATTAGCTTCGAAGAGCTAAGTTCAGCTTGAGATTATTCTTCTACTAGAATTATATATACCTTGTGATTAATAGAGAAATTCACTACGCTTCACTAGTTATATAAAAGTCCATTGCCTTTCCCACTATGTTATGCTGGATAATAAAAACTGCCTGGGGCCGAGTGCCGGTGGCTCACACCTGTAATCCTAGCTGCTCAGGAGGCTGAGATCTGAGGATCACAGTTCAAAGCCAGGCAGGCAGGAACGTCCGTGAGACTCTTATCTCCAATAAACCACCAGAAAACCGGAAGTGGTGCTGTGGCTCAAGTGGTAGAGCACTCATCTGGCGCTGAAGAGCTGAGGGACAGCGCCCAGGCCCAGAGTTCAAGCCCCAAGACCGACAAAAAAAAAAAAATAGCTCAGGTAACAAATCCAAGAAACTTTGATCTCCAATAAACTAGCTAAAAGCCAGAACTGGAACTGGAGACATGACTAAAGTGGCAGAGTGCCAGCTTTAAAGCAAAAAGGCTGAGGAAGAGCACTGCCAACCCTCATACACACAAATTTCAAATAGCAACCTGAAATGGCAATCACTTTTTGTTGGTATAATAAGTGTATTCTTCCTATTAAATAAAACCTAATGCTGCGGAAACTAACAGGGTGGAGGGCTAGGGGAAGAAGCAAGTATTGAAAAGATACGGCCTTGACACAACACACACCCAAGAAAGGCCTACTAATGGGGAAGTGGAACATGTCTTTCTCAGGAGAGGCAAGCAAAGGCAAACTCTGCTCCCCTTTCTAAGTCTGGCAAAGTGATGCATCTTGCCTCTATCTAGACATGCTGTGGGGCTATACTTTGGGGCTGTACTTACCTGTTATCTGGTTGTTTCCCATAAGTGGCATAGTTCAGTTTAAACCGTTTTGCCTGGAAATTTAAAAACAGACAGACTAAAACATAGAAAAGGTGTATCAAGAGTCAAACAATGTTTGAAAAAAACTGAAATAAATTACCTTGGCCAAAACATCTCCCCCTCTCTAAGCCTCAGCCTTTCCTCCTGTATAAAATGAGGGGGTTGCACGGATGACCATTAAGGGCACTGCCAGCTCCGTGGTTCTATGAGCCCAGGTGTGCCAGCTGGTGAGCTGTAAGCTAAGTAACTGTAGGAAGAGCAGAATGTAACTCTCTTGAGAAGTGTTCTTGCTGCTGCCAGCCTGTTCTAGCTTCTCAATCAGGCAAAAGACCTATAGTTTCAAGTCTTCTGTCACAGGAGGCAGTGATGAGGAGTGGGAAGGGCATGGGTTTCCAAGGCAACCAATCTTCTGAATCTTGGCACTGTCACTTACTACCTGTGTTGCCTTGAGCAAGTTATTTCACTTCCCTGAGCTTCCTTACCTGGTCTGTCAAAGATAGCAATGCCTACTGTACCGGCTGTTAGAGGATTCAATAAAATGAAGTAAGTATCCAGTAGGGAGTCAGTGAATGGTAAGACTCAATGACAATAAAAATGGCAACATCATCATTATCTAAATGTCCTTACAGGTGTGGCTCCTGGAAGGGGTTTCCCATTAATTTTATGCAAACACTTCTCAGCTGTGGCCAAATCTGCGAATTCTACAAAACAGTAGCCAGCTGGGATCCTGGAATGTAAACACAGAAAGAGAATGGTTAAAGATACTCAGGTAAGCTGGGCTCCAGTGGTTCGTACCTGTAATCCTAACAACTCAGAAAGATGAGATCTGAGGATCATGGTTCATTCATAGCCAGACTGGGCCGGAGAGTCTGTTCTTATCTCCTGTTAACCACAAAAGGCTAGAAATAAGAGTTGTAGCTCAGGGCTGGGAAGGTGGCTCAGTGGTAGAGCGCTTGCCTTGCATGCATGAGGCCCTGGGTTCGATTCCTCAGCACCACATAAGCAAAAAAAGCCGGAAGTGGTGCTGTGGCTCAGTGGTAGAGCGCTAGCCTTGAGCTAAAGAGCTGAGGGACAGCGCCCAGACCCAGAGTTCAGGCCCCACGACCGGCAAAAAAAAAAAAAAAAGAAAAACGTATATCTATGTTATCCTTTCACTTACTTAGGGAAAATAAGTAGGCCTAGACTCAACCAGTTTCAGAAGACATACATTTACATTTATAACAGCTTTTGAAGACAGTAATAGAGAGGGTAAGACAAATCAAAGTACTTTGTATCCATATACACATATAAGAATGTAACCCTCGGCCAGGCGCTGGTAGCTCACACCTGTAATCCTAGCTACTCAGGAGGCTGAGATCTGAGGATCAAGGTTCAAAGCCAGATGGGGTAGGAAAGTCCATGAGATTCTTATCTACAATTAACCACCCTTAAATTTATTTTAAAAAAAATCCCTATTTCTAACCAGAATCCTAAGGAAAACACATGTGTATGCATGCGCACACACATGCACATGCACACACACACACAAACAACAACAACAACAACAAGGACCTTGCCAGGGGCTGATGGTTCATGCCTGTAATCCTAACTACTCAGGTGGCTGAGATATGAGGATCGCCATTCAGAGCCAGCCTGGGCAGGAAAGTCTGTGAAACTCTAATCTCCAATTACCACCAGAAAACTGGAAGTGGCGCTGTGGCTCAAGTAGGTAGAGCGCAGACCTTGAGCTGAAGAGTTGAGGGACCGCACCCAGGTCCTGAGTTCAAACCTCAAGACTGACATTTAAAAACAACAGCAACAAAAAACCTCAAAGTGAAACAAGTAGCTTTCTGAAGAGTTTTTCTGGGGCAGAACTAAACATTGTCTCATTCTCCTACTCAGATGCACAAACCCTGAGGGCAAGGATGATGGCGGATCTCAGCCAATCCTAGAAATCTAGACCTGTAGCACATAGTAGGGTGTTGTTTATTAAACAGCCTAACAGATCTGAAAACAGGTTGAAACATAAAAAAAAATAGACCTGCATTTAATAGCCGTATAACTTTAAGACGATTTTTAAGCTTCTCTTACAGCTTTTTTCCTCTTATGCTTTTTGATGGTTAATTGAAGATGAGTCTCACAGACTTTCCAGCCTGGATTGGCTTCGAAACGCGATCCTCACATCCCAGCCTCCTGACTCCGGAGGAGCTAGGATTGCAGGCGTGAGACCCAGGCGCTAGGTTCACGCGACTTTTACAACGTCTTGAATGACACCTGGGACACTATGAAGCCGAACTGAGAGGTAAAACGGGAGATGTACCCAGTGAGGCGGTTTCGGATAATCTTCACGCTCATCACGGTCTCCCCCATTGTGGCAAAGGCTCTGGAGATGAAGTTCTCATCCATGTAGGGTTCCAGCTGAGGAACAAGCAGAGCGCAGGCTCTGGCGGGAGTCCAGAGCCCGGGGCCGGCTCCGCCCCGCTGGCCGAGACCCCTCTCCCGTCGCCCTAAGCCCCACCCCTTCTCCCTCCCACTCCGCGCGGGGGGCGGCGCGCGGCAGCGGGGCCTGGGCGGGCGGGGCCGCGGGCTCCGCCCAGACGTCCGAGCCCCACCCCCTTCGCCCCAAACTCGCCTCCCAGCGCCCCTCCAGTCCTAGAACCATTCAACGCCCCTGGATTCCCTCAGGAAAATCTCGCGTCCCAGTCCAGTCCCTGCTCTCCGTGGCCCGGACGCGCTTCGCCGTCACCAGAACTGCCTCCCCGCTCACTGCCTGCCCGCGGGGCTCGAGTCCGCGCCCTCAGACGCCGGGACCCTTCCGCCGCCTCCTGAGAGTGCGGCCGGCAGCTCTCACTCACGTCTCCCATCCACAGGCTGGCCGCCATCCCGCAGCCAGGCGGGGACCTCGCGGGTTCCGCGGCGCGCCCAGGCGCCAGTCCGCGCGGCCCAGATCGCCCCGGAGCTCGCGCCGCGTCGTCTTCTGCGCACGCTCGGAAGGCCAGAAGCCGAGCCCGTCCGGCAGTCCGCTCCAGACTTTCCGGAAGACCTGGCGCCGGCTTCCGGCTCGCGGTGGGCGGAGTCGGGGCGGCGTCGGGCGCGAGCGTGGCGGTGGTGGGGCCGCGTTCGGCTGTTTCCCACTTTATTTAACAAACAGAACATGGCGTGAGTATTCATGTACATTCAGATACTATAGAAAAGCCAACATGCACTCAGCACAAGAGATGGGTAACTAGGGCTGGGAAGGTGGCTCAGTGGTAGAGCGCTTGCCTTGCATGCCTGAGGCCCTGGGTTCAATTCCTCAGCACCACATAAGCAAAAAAAGCCGGAAGTGGTGCTGTGGCTCAGTGGTAGAGCGCTAGCCTTGAGCTAAAGAGCTGAGGGACAGCGCCCAGACCCAGAGTTCAGGCCCCACGACCGGCAAAAAAAAAAAAAAAAGAAAAACGTATATCTATGTTATCCTTTCACTTACTTAGGGAAAATAAGTAGGCCTAGACTCAACCAGTTTCAGAAGACATACATTTACATTTATAACAGCTTTTGAAGACAGTAATAGAGAGGGTAAGACAAATCAAAGTACTTTGTATCCATATACACATATAAGAATGTAACCCTCGGCCAGGCGCTGGTAGCTCACACCTGTAATCCTAGCTGCTCAGGAGGCTGAGATCTGAGGATCAAGGTTCAAAGCCAGATGGGGTAGGAAAGTCCATGAGATTCTTATCTCCAATAAACCACCAGAAAACCGGAAGTGGTGCTGTGGCTCAAGTGGTAGAGCACTCATCTGGCGCTGAAGAGCTGAGGGACAGCGCCAGGCCCAGAGTTCAAGCCCCATGACTGACAAAAAAAAAAAAAAAAAAATTGTCAGAATAAAGATGGCAAAGTCACTTTGGGGAAACAGGGAGAGGGATGAGACCTGAGAACCCAGGACTTCACTGGTGGTTAGTAAACATACCAGGTTGGAAAGAAGGATTAGAGGAGAAACAAGTTATTGTACCTCAGAAGCCATATACAATGAGGCTGATGGAGGGTGATTAAGATTTTGGAGCAAATTCCAAGAGAGCTTGGGGCTTGGGGCAGGGAGGGGTGGGGAAGAAAAAGAGAGACCTGAACTCAGAGCATCCACCTTGTTAACAAATGCTGTTCTACTTCAGCTCTTTTGTTTTTAATATGGTTTTTGAGCTAGGATCTCACTCATTTTGCCCAGGCTGAAATTAGAGATCTTCCTGTCTCTGCCTTCTGAGTAGCTGGGATCATAGGCAAGCCCCAATATACCTAGCCAAGCATAATGCTTTTGAAATTCAATCACAGTTGCTGTGTCGGGAGTTTGTTCCTTCTTATTGCTGAGTAGTATTGTACCATATGAAAATATCAACACTTGTTTATCTACTCACCTATTCATGGCTATCTGCACTATTTGCAATTTTTAGCTATTGTCACACAGCTCCTATGAATATTCTTTCCCAAGTTCTTTGTGTTTACAAATATAAATAGCTAGGTGCCAGTGGTTCACGCATATAATCCTAGCTATTCAGGATGATCTTGGTTCAAAGCCAGCCTGGACAGGAAAGTCCATGAGACTCTTATCTCCAATGAACCACTAGAAAACTAGAAATGGCACTGTGACTTAAATTGGTAGAGCACTAGCCTTGAGTGAAAAAGCTCAGAAACAGCACCCAGGCCCTGAGTTCAAGCTTCACCACCACCAACAAGAAAAACATATAGGGGCTGGGAAGGTGGCTCAGCGGTAGAGTGCTTGCCTTGCAAGCATGAGGCCCTGGGTTCGATTCCTCAGCACCACATAAACAGAAAAAGCCGG